CTATGCTGCTTTACTTATTGCTGCCCAGTGTGCGGATGATGTTTCATCTTTTCATATATGAATGAAGACAGATACAAATTAATGTGTACTTTCTTTTTTAAAAAATTTTTATTTTATTGGTACATTTTAGGTATAGAGTATAATTACATTCATCATTGGAAATTTGCACCTTTTTGCACCTATGCTGCTTTACTTATTGCTGCCCAGTGTGCGGATGATGTTTCATCTTTTCATATATGAATGAAGACAGATACAAATTAATGTGTACTTTCTTTTTTTAAAAATTTTTATTTTATTGGTACATTTTAGGTATAGAGTATAATTACATTCATCATTGGAAATTTGCACCTTTACATAATCTCTCTTGGTTCTTATTTATGTGTACTTTCTTAATGGTAATTTAGTGTTTAAATATTTTTGAATAAATTTTACTTTCAAAATTTTTGGTGAGATTTAACATTAATAACAATGAGAATATCCTCAGAATATTCGGAAAGTTTATTCACTGGGCCTTGGGCAATGGATGGGAGCATCCACGTCATTGATTCTGGACCTGACTCAAACCTCATTTGCCCCGTGGATGACCACTCTTCCACTTCAATAACTTAGGTTTACCATGTGTGAGTTTCTGTGAACAATGTTCTTTTAATTTCCTCCCTTAGAATTTTCAATTTGTGACTATTATAGAAATCACAAGAAAACTGTATTTAGAGATCTTTCTTTCCTCCCACTATTGTTCACAAGTGCTGATATGTGAATCAAGAGCCAGATGATGTCTCATCCATTCCATTGCTCATGTGATTCAGAATTTGTCAAGTTTACTTGAAAAAATTCACATCTATCTTCAGGAATAATAACAGTGTATTCTCTGGACATTGGAAAGAAGTCACTGGTCTGCATGTTTTGGTCAACTCTAAAGTAAAGAAAATGAGTGTAGAGTTTATCAATTGACCCTTCATTCTTGAGTAAATCTACATCCTTATTGTGTTCTTCCACACTTCCATTTTCTTTAGTGATTTTTCTCAAAAAAGTTTGATCCTTGGAATTTATTCAGTGTTTTCTCTTGAGTTAGATATGTTGTGCTCATTTGCTTTAGATTTGTGTTCATTGATCTTTACTACCTACCCAAAATCTTTATACTGTGTGCACAGGAAATACTTTCTTGTTTTGTTTATATCCCATGTTTTTCATACATTTGAATTTATCCTTGAAATTGTAATGGTTACTTGATTTTCTTTTGAGGAAAATCTTTTTTCACATTTAAAAGTTATTTCACTATGACTTCTCAAGTCAGTCAAATTTATCTTTCCCTTATGCAAGGTAATTATTGCATGTAGCATAGTAGAGTACACAGTCTAGGTTTCTAAATACATACTTGTTTCTTCCTGAACATGAAACATTGTGATTTCTTCCAGAGATGTATAACACCAGCTCTTTCAAGAATCAATATTTCACATATATCTGGACCCACTGAAGTCTGCCTTTCATTCCTGAGATCCATTTGTCATTTTCTAATGGTACAATCTCACGAAAGGTGGAATTTGAATGTCTTCCATGTATATCATGGAAGCTATCAAACTTTTTGCGTAGAAGGCATTGAATGTTGTTAGAATTTTACTATACTGTATAGCTATAATGTTTTTAACAAATCAAAGGTGTCATTTGCAAATGACATTTGTTTTAGAAATGTTCCTTTTTTGCGGCAAGTTTGAGTCAGTGTGTGTCTTTATATTTCAGACTGGTCTAACTTATTTTGTAGCTGAGGCTGGCCTTGAACTTAACCCCATCTTCCTGCACCAGCCTCCCAAGTTCTTGGATTATAGACATGTACCACCACACCTGGCTGAAATTTTCTTCTTTTGCCTAATTATTTTGTGATATATTGATTTTCAGTGGCAACTACATTTTATTCATCTTCCTCCCCTCATAGCCCCCTAGAATTTCTTATATCTGAGGGAAAGGAGACTACATGGTGAGACTGAGCTATAAGATATTTTGCCAACCTTTCCCTGTTTTCATTGTTCATAGACTTGTTCCAATAAAACCATTTTTCCATTAACATTTTAAGTATTATTCATATACCATATTTAATGTTCAATTATGTTTTTTCTATGAAATCAAATTCAAGTTTCTAAATGCTGCATATATATAATGAAAGAAAGGACTCAATGGCATAAAAAGTTTTGAAAAAAATATTATCTATGGTCTGTCAAAGCCATTCATTAGGTATCATCTGTCCCAGTGTTTTGTTGATGGTGATCTTGTAGGGTTCCTCTGAGCTCTGCATTAGAGGTGGTGCACAGACACCCTGGCAGTGACCTAGCAAAGGAACCAGTGCTCTTTTCTGCTCTTGCATTAGCAATGAGTGGCAATCTGGCATCAGAATTGATGTCTGAAAAAAATGTGTATACATGTGGAATTTATGACCGAGACGTAGAATTGATATCTGAAGGATTCAGCCTTTATTGGGCTTGTGTTTTTTGTGGGTTTTTCACCACCAGTATATGACTTTTTATTTAAAATTTGTTCATTTATATTTATAATACTTTGAAAATTTTGGTTCCTTATAATATTGATTGAACTTATGTATGTAGTGGTTTCAGAATAATAGCAAATTTTAATACTATAAATGAGATTACTATAATTTTAATATTTCCTTCAACCTTTTTGTCCTTAGACTGTATTCCACTGAGGTTGCACAGTCAAAATATTGGTTCTAGAGTTTGGTTGGAAAATTTTTTTTCTCTGTGTGGTCATGTCATGAACTTGATATACAGTTAGACTCATTTGATTCAGTTTGTTTTTAATTTTTAGGAACTGCTTTTGCTTTTGTTCCATATTTAATTTTGATTTTTTTTGAGGCATTGGCATGATACCCCATGTCAAAATTACATTAAAAAATGTACATTCAGAGAAGCTTCATTTCCATCTATCCTTATCTCTTTCACCTGGACCCTCTTTTCTCTAACAGGTAAACATTTTTCTTAGGTTTTCCTCCCTCAATGTTTATCTTGTTTACATTAGAGTCAGACTTTATAAATACAGTAAAACCTTGGTTTGTAAGAATAATTCATTCTGCTTATAATCCAGAGCACTTGTATATTGAAGGAGAGAGACAGACAGACCAGTTGTGATCATGTGACATTCCACATACCAAGTTACTTGCAATCCAAGACTGGACTGTAGATCAAAGTGTGGGAATATTGCCAGTCAGCCTGGGGTTCTTTTGCTGGATTTAAGAATCGGCAAAGTGCAGCTCTGCTAGCAGTCTTGATGTCACCAGGTAATGCTAGATGGCAACACTTGACACAGCCAGCTGCTGGTCACTGCCACTGCCAGCTGTCATAGTCTTATGCCAGCTTATGCTGGACACCATAGGTCACTGTCTGATGCCTGCTTGTGCTGGACACTGTAGGTGAATTCTACCAGATGGTGTGTCTCTGCTGCTGGCCTTTATTGGCTGCTGGTCTCTGGAGTTCTTTGGTGTTTATTCATCTTTCTTTGGAACATAAAAGTCCTAAGTAGATTTATAGGAATTTTGGAGCCCCTGCTACCTGAAAAATAAATCACAAGCAGGTTTACAGGAGCACTAAAGGGAGTCTTTATTGTAACAGGGCCTGGGCTGCAGCACAGAGACTAGTACACAGGAGGGAGACCTAGACTAAAAGGAAGAATGCCTGGAAAATGCTACTATTGTAACAACTTGCAGGCCTAATTCAATAAAGGTGAAGGCTGAAACCAGGGAATCTTCTGGAAGCTTGCAGTGAATGTTGGGTATGCAAAAAAGGGGCTGAGATCCTTCCCTTCCAGATCTTAGCCACTCCAGGGTGCGTCTCCTCAAAAATGCAACAGTACTATCAGAAGGGGGCTGAGTGGGGGAGGGGCACCTTGCCACCTGGCCCCTCCAGCCTGCAGAGCACTTCCCTTCTGTCTCTCACATAGGCTCTCTAACAATCTTTTCCTGTATGCCTCTCTTTAGAATTGTTCCCCTTGCAGTTAGTTCATCTCTAACTCCATTTAATGCCCTCTGATTATTACCTGCCTCTTCCATAGAGCTTGCTTGCCAAGAGCAAGAAAGCATTCCATTACCAGTACCTATCATAATCTATACCCTATGCTGCTGAAAAACTCGTATTTTAACTTGTTCTCTGTGTCTAACTGCATAACATAGTTGTCTGCTGTATATTCTGCCTTTTCTGCATTTGTTGTCTGTATTAAATCACAAACCTTTGGTTATTTAGGTGCCTAATATAGTATGATCTTTTCTTTCTCATTCTTGTATAACACCTTGTGGTATATGACTACGTTCAACTTATTTCATGTTCATTTACCTTAGTACTCTACTTCATTATTCTATGTTGTTTTGTATCTGTTTAATGAATTTGCCTTTTTTCCAAGAAAGTTGTAGTTCCTTGAAGTTCAGGACTTCCCCATCACTTTAGTCTTGGCTACTTGTGAGGCAGAGGCAGGAGGATCACTTGAGCTCAGGAAGGAGTTCAACACTAGCCTGGGCAACATAGTGAGACCTTATTTCAGTGAAAGGGTATAGCTCAGTGGTAGAGCACTTGCCTGCCATGCGCTAGACCCTGGGTTCAATCCCAAGCACTGGAGCATGAGCACCACTGGTATGGGAGGTCTGAGTGGGCAGAGCTTTGGAACCCGTGGCTTTAGTGACTGCACCTAGCCCACCAGAAGTGTGAGGCTAGGGCTAGCAGATGGCGGTGAGCCAGTCAGGTAAGGTGTGGGCGGCAGGCTGTGGAGCTTTTTTGTTTTATTGCGACAGAGTCTCATTATGTAGTTCAGGCTGGACTTGAACTCACTGTAGAGCCCACATTGGTCTTGAATTTACTGCAATCTTCCTGGTTCAGCTTCCCAAGTGTGGAGATTACACATATGCATCATCAGAACTGGCTCTCAATTCAGCTTTTCAAGAGAGAGGTTGAGATATCCTGGGTTGTGAGTTTCCACCTTCCTCTGAAAAGCATATGTGTGGTGTTTAGGAGGCAGTGACTTTTGAGGATGTGGCTGTGAATTTTACCGTAGAGGAGTGGGCTTTGCTGAATCCATCCCAAAAGAAGCTCTACAGAGATGTGATGGAGGAAACTTTTAGGAACATGGCTGCTATAGGTAAGATGACATCTCTTTCTCATCTATAAAGTCAGACAATATTGCATGTTGCTCATCAGTACTGTTTCATTAAAGAGAATGAGAAAATATTTTGAAGAATATCTCAGGCCTGTTAACATTATATCATGAATCTAATTGGAATCTTAATTTTTTTTGTAATAATATAATGAGTCCTTGTATTTCTATGTCTACAATTCAGGAAGAGCCTGGGATAACCAGGAAGTTGAGGAAGAATGCAAAAATTCCTGGAGATATCTAAGGTAATTTGCACTCACAAGGAAAAAGAATGTTCCTCAAGAATCAGTGTGAGAACAGAAACATGACAATCAAGGAAATGAGGCCAAGTTTAATTTAATGTTACAAATATTCTCTAAAGATGTATACAGCTTGAGTATGTATAATCTGACAATTTAACCGTAAAAATGTATAAAATTGCATTTAGGTATTGTATATAGGTGTATATGGAAAGAATAAAATTTTGAATTTTACAGGAATCCATCCTCAAGGTACCTATTTATATATACATGTGAATTTAAGACATTCAGTATCTGAAAATTGCTAACCTTGAACCAGTATCCAAAGTACAAATGAATGCTAGTGTTGTGATAGGTCTTTTCCAGACATTTTGAAGAGAATCGAGTCCATTAATGATTTAAAATTCTTAGAAGGCACCTTCCAAAATTGCTGGTGGAATGTTAAGTACAGCTGCTATGATGATCACTACACAGATATCTTAGAAGCTGAAAATAGAACTTTCATTTGAGCCAGATATACCTCTCCTGGGTATATTCTCAAATTAGTTAAAAGCATCATATTATACTGATACATGCATACCCATACTCAACACAGGCTAATTTATAACAGCTAAGCCCTGGAATCAGTTTAGAAGTCCATCACTGGGTTTATGCATGAAGAAAATTGTTGATAGGTTCTGTGTGATGTAAACCTAACAGTCTGGAAAGCAGATTCTGCAGGCTGTCAAGTTGGAGCTTAGCCTGAGCAACTTAATCATCAGTGAAAATCTCTTAAAATAAATACAAAAGCTGGAGGTGTTGTCTAAGACCTGTGTTTAATTCTCCACAGTGAAAAGAAAAAGAAAATGTGCCATTTAATCAGCCAAAAAGATGAATAGTTTGCCAAAAGAAATAGGTGGGTCTTCATCACATAATGTTAAGTGAAATAACTCAGGCACAAAATGTGAAATGTCACATGGTTTCTCTTCTGTGAGAAACCAAAAAATATAAATCAGGGAGGAAAACAAAGGAGAGATGATAGGAAAGAGAAAAGCTGATGTTTTGGATATGGCAAAGACAAAGTAAGAAGAAAAGGGGGAAAGTAATGGAGGAAATGGTATTGAAATGATCAGTATGTGATGCGCCTGTGTACCAGTTGTCCAAAATGAAGCTAAAAATTTTGTATTGGAAAGTATACCATCTTAAACTTTCCCAAATGAAAACCACTCTTGTGAGAATGGCTGTTTTGAAGGTATCCTTCAGTACATCTTGTTCATTCTTTGTCAGAATTTCTTAGCAGGCATCCAAACAAAATTTGTTCAGGTAAATCATTAATATGGAGACTCATTTTATTATGACGTTTTTTCTTTACAGAAACGTAGAACTAGAGAAATACTATCAATATACAGCTTGGAATCAATGTAAAGAAGTATTCCTTTGCAGTAGAGCTGCTAATGTGGACATGAAACAAGCTGGTTTAACACCAGCTGAAAGCCTTGCTTGTAGAGCTCCTCTGGTTGAGCATTTGTCACGAAATGTGCCCATCGTAGCTCACACAGCACTGAAGCCATATAAATACTTGAGATCTGAAGAGAATCTGTATAAATGTGATCAACATGGAAGAAACTGTGATTTCCAGTCCTTTCAGAAACATTCAGGGACAAAGGCTGGAGAGAAACCCTGTGAATATGATCAATGTGGGAAATCCTACTCCGATCTTAGTGAAAGAACTCACCTTACAGACAAGGCCTTTGTATGTAAGAAAAATTTGAAAGCTTCCAGCACAGACAGTGATGTTCAGATCCATGAGAGAAATCACAGTGAGGGGAAACCCTATGTCTGTAAACAATGTGGGAAAGCTTTCACCACACATAGATCTTGTGAAATACATGAAAGAACTCACACTGGGGAGAAACCCTATGTATGTATGCAGTGTGGGAAAGCATTCAGTACACGTAGTGCTTGTCAAATACACGAAAGAGTTCATACTGGGGAAAAACCCTATGTATGTAAGCAGTGTGGGAAAGCATTTAGTACACGTGGTGCTTGTCAAATACATGAAAGAAGACACACTGGGGAGAAACCTTATGTGTGTAAACAGTGTGGAGAAGCTTTCATCACACGTGGTACTTGTCAAAGACATGAAAGAGTTCACACTGGGGAGAAACCTTATGTATGTAAGCAATGTGGGAAAGCATTCAGTGCACGTAGTGCTTGTCAAATACATGAAAGGGTTCACACTGGGGAGAAACCCTATGTATGTAAGCAATGTGGGAAAGCTTTTGTCACACGTGGTGATTGTCAAATACATGAAAGAATTCACACTGGGGAGAAGCCATATATATGTAAACAATGTAGGAGAGCATTCAGCACACATAGTGCTTGTCAAAGACATGAAAGGACTCACACTGGGGAGAAATCTTATGTATGTAAGCAATGTGGGAAAGCTTTCATCACACGTGGTGAATGTCAAAGACATGAAAGAGTTCACACTGGGGAGAAACCCTATGAATGTAAGCATTGTGGGAAAGCTTTCATCACAAACAGTCATTGCCGAACTCATGAAAAAGTTCACACTGGGGATAAAGCCTATGAATGTAAGGAATGTGGGAAAGCTTTCATCACACGTGGTGAATGTCAGAGACATGAAAGAATTCACAGTGGGGAGAAACCCTATGAATGTAAACAGTGTGGGAAAGCTTTCCGTGTTCAAGGATATTGTCAAATACATGAAAGAGTTCACACTGGAGAGAAACCCTATGTATGTAAGCAATGTGGAAAAGGTTTCAGCAGAAGCAGTTGCTGGCAAACACATGAAAGAGCTCACACTGGGGAGAAGCCATACATATGTAAGCAATGTGGGAAAGCTTTGAGCACACGTAGTGCTCATCAAAGACATGAAAGAGCTCACACTGGGGAGAAACCCTATGTATGTAAGCAGTGTGGGAAAGGTTTGAGCACACGTGATGCTTATCAAAGACATGAAAGAGCTCACACTGGTGAGAAATCCTATGTATGTAAGCAATGTGGGAAAGCTTTTGTCACACGTGGTGAATGTCAAAGACATGAAAGAGTTCACACTGGGGAGAAACCCTACGTATGTAAGCAATGTGGGAAAGCTTTCAGCACAAACAGTCATTGTCAAATACATGAAAGAGTTCACACTGGGGAGAAACCCTATGTATGTAAGCAATGTGGGAAAGCTTTCAGCACACGTGGATATTGTCAAATACATGAAAGAGTTCACACTGGGGAGAAACCCTATGTATGTAAGCAATGTGGGAAAGCTTTCAGCACAAAGAGTCGTTGTCGAACACATGAAAAAGTTCACAGTGGGGAGAAACCCTATGTATGTAAGCAATGTGGGAAAGCTTTCTGCACACATAGTGCTTGTCAAAGACATGAAAGAGTTCACACTGGGGAGAAACCCTATGTATGTAAACAATGTGGGAAAGCTTTGAGCACACAAGATGCTCATAAAAGACATCAAAGAGCTCACACTGGGGAGAAGCCTTATGTATGTAAGCAATGTGGGAAAGCTTTCATCACACGTGGTGAGTGTCAAAGGCATGAAAGAGTTCATACTGGGGAGAAACCCTATGTATGTAAGCAATGTGGGAAAGCTTTCAGAACAAACAGTCACTGTCAAACACATGAAAAAGTTCACACTGGTGATAAACCCTACATACATAAACAATGTGGGACAGCGTACATCACATGTGGATATTACCAGATAAATGAAAGGGTTCACACTCTGGAGAAACCCTATATATTTTAGCAATGTGTAAAAGTTTTCATCCCATGTGGTGAATGTCAAAGACGTGAAAGAATTCTCACTGGATATTGATGCTAAGTATGTGAGCAGTGTGCAGACTTTCAGCACATATGATTGTCCAATGAAAAATTCACTTGGGAGAAATCATAAGTATGTAAGTAATGTGGGATAGATGTCAGTCCACACACATTATGAACACATGAAGTCTCACGGGAGAACCTTTATATATGCGCACCTATTTTTAAAATCCTGTTGGAAATTCTCATGTGGTGGAGACTTTTAGAAGTAAATAATACAAAAGATGTCAATATTTCTTGACATTTTCCAGAAAATACAAATCTCAGTGATATCTAAAAGTACCTGCATTGTATGGTTTTTAGTAAATCACTTGAAGAGATCTAAATTATGTACCTGTGGGGTATAATATAAAAGTATTGAGTTGATATAATTTTCTATTTTTGAGTGGTTAATCCTTGGTGTCTTTTAACTGTATATGGTGAATTGAAAGCTACTTTTTACTTTCAAGTACAGTTAGCATCTATGTAGTTACTGTTTTGCCTTTAAAATTGGGATGTATAGGCTATTAAAATCCTTAAAGTTTTTTGTATCAGGGATCAAACTCAGGACCTTGTGCTTGCAAAGCAGGCATGGTACCACTGAGTGAAATCCCTGGCTAAAAACAAACTTAAATTATTTGTAGTTAATTGTTGGGATTTTACCACAACATTTGTTTTAAATTTTTGGTGCATACACTCCATATTTTGTGTTACAAAAATGTTTTTTAATTTGTTGCTATATTTTATATTAAGATATGCATTGTCAGATTTGTGAACATGTGTTTTTGACAAATTTGAGTTGTCACAAAACTTGAAAGTTAGCAAATGTTATGTTTTTATATTGTGACAAGATACCTGCTTATATCCCAACATCATATATCATGTACATAATGTTGCATGTTTTTCTTATTGGAGTCAACATTATCATTTACATAAATTTTTATATTTTCTTCCCAGAAGAATTTTACTTTTCATGTTTATATTGCAATGACTTTTAATTTGGTGTTAATTTTTCCACCACATGTACCAAAAATAAACTATACTGCTGAGTTTTTGATTGCCACAGACCAACAGGACCATAACTCTTCTCCAAAAGGATATCATATTAGTAATGTCTCCAGAAAGTGTAAATGATGCTATGATTTATCAGTAACAAGACTTTCAGAGGAATTTTTGTCAGCTGTTGAGGTGTTTTAGGGACAGTGGTTGCTATTGAATGTACAAGGCAAATGCCTTTATTGTATTCCTTGATGCTATGATGCCATTGTATCTTTGGTAATCATTGTTTTTACCTAATAAGCTGAACTAATGGCATGAAACAAAATGTAACTCATACGATGCATCTGTCAGTTTGGTAAAGAGTGAGTTTGCTAAATTATAATTCAGACTGTTTCACAATTTTTGAGATAAATTTATACAATACATTTCTCCTAAGAACCACTGTCTGATGTTTGATGTATGTGACAATTGCCTTCAACACACACTGGGCCAAGTTATCTGCGTGAGTCCCAGTTGGTCTCCTTTGACCTGTATTTTTTCTATCTTTTTAACATTGACCTAGTTTCTAAAATGTTTTATATAGTTTTCTTGAATACAAAAGCTACTCTTTCTGATGGGGTTACATTGTTTCAAACCTTTGGTATGAAAACACGAGTGAGCAATGCATTAAATATCTGTAATGCATGGGGTATAGCTTGCCCTAGCCTTAATTATGCTTAGACACATAAATTACTCACTAGTTATGTAGTGTCATCTAAAAGTATGTCTTTTGCATCTGAAATATCTGATATAATTCATGGAATATAGTACACTGCAGAGTACATGTGCACACTTCTGCTTCTTACCATCACCAGGAAGGTATGTACTGTGTATTGGTATTGCAGGTGGTGATAGAATATTGAAACTACAAAACATCCTGAGTGCGTTTACTTTGCCATTATTTTACCATGGAAAAAATCTTATTTTGTTTTTTTGGTTCTGGGGTTCAAACTGAGGACTTCGAGCCTGGCACAGTGTAGCTGAGCTAAATCGCTGGCCTTTTACCATGAAAAAAGTCTTGCTGGCCCTGCTGATGGATACTTGTAATCCCAGCAACTCAGGAGGCAGAAGTGGGAGGAAAAAAATTTCAGTCCAGCCTATTTAGTGACACCCTCTCTCAAAATACATTTGAAAGTTCTGCAGATGTAATCCAGTGCTTTAGTACTCCTAGATTTACTCCTCAGTATCAAAATTATTTTAATACTAAGAATTACACACTAGTCCTTTTCTCACTGACCACTTAGCAGTTTACCCCAAGCATCACTCAATGAGCACATTTGTTTATGTACAGACTGTCCTGAGCATCTTTCAGGCAGATTTCACTTTAACCAGCCGATACTGTATTAAATTTGATAAAATTATTTTTGTATTTAATATTATAAAAAATTAATGAAAAAATGCAATATTTGGCCATCCTGTATTTATATAATTGGACTGGTAAGTGCTTAATGTATAGTCTTAGCACCAGGATAGTCTGAGACAGGATTATCATGGCTTTAAAGCTAACTTTGGGGGCCACTTAGCTAGGTGCCTTAGCAAACTATGAAACAGTTGTCTTTATCTGCATTTGAAGTTTAAGGAAAGAAATTTAGTGAAGAACATAAACCTAGGGTAAGGTGAGAAAAAAAAAATCATGTTTTCAAATCATCATTTTGTTTCTCGGGAAATGTTCTTTTCATGAAAATATTTGTATAGCATATATTCCTGCCTTTGAGTAAAGTATAAGCAATAAAAGATGAATGAGCCAGGCAGTACACATTCTGAATGTAGAGACATAAAAACAAAGTATTCTCAATGCTATTGCTGGTGTTTTTGGTATAAAATAAGGTAGGATAACACAACAAACATAAAAAATTTTATAAAATTTGAAAACTTCTGCACAGACATGGATGCAAAAAAAAGCATGAAAAATAATCCACAATGAGTATTTTGCCTGATATTCCTCAGAGAACTAATATCTGAAAAAAATAGGCAAGTTAAATGAATAACACTTCTCAGACTACGTACAAATTGCTAATAAATACCTGAAAAAAAGTTGAGCATTTCTGTCCAATAGAGAAAGGCCAGTTGGAACATAAACTCATTCCAGAAAGATCACATCACCAAAAACGAAAAAATGTTTCATGAGGCTGCAGGGGAAAAGGAAACATTCAACATTGGTGGGATAAATAGTTCAGCTACTACAGAAGTCAGTGTATAGAGTATTCAGAAAACTAAAAGTAATGCATTCAGTGTAGTGCTTCCTTTTGTGAATGTCTTCCCCAAAGAATTAAAGACATCATGTTTCAGTGATCCATGCATATTCCTGTTTACAGCAGCAATACTCTTTTTCTATTGGACAGCAGGGGTGAGTCCTGCTCTGTCAGCCACCAGATACCAAGGATAAACAACAAGTACCCCTCAGTGTACTCTGCTAAAAATTATATGTGATATTTTATTATGAAATGAGCTGTATATTAGAATATTCTTCCTGACTACAGGTCAATATAAGCATGATAAGCATGTTAATGTTGCAAGGGGATCACTTACATTCATTAGATTTGGTATATTAAATGCATATTCAGTACATTTTCCAGCTTTTGTGTTGATCAAATATTTCCACTTTGTACCTCAAGGAACTGTAACCACTTCAAGTTTATTGAGGTGGAGATGTGCATAACACCAAGTTCATTATATTCTCTCCTGGTTCATTGTTGTTCGTGTACTGCAATGAAACATATGTATACATGTGTATATAAGAATTTCTTTTTTTACTTTCCTTATAACAGATTAAAAACTTTTTTAAGATTCTTAAAATTTCTTTGTATAATTGGAGGCTGAATACTCATATAACTCCCCAGGGTTAAACCTGGGGAAACACTGCTCAAATGAAGCTGGAAGCTTAAGAAGAAGAACCAACCACAATCAACCACAGCCCAAGAGGGAAGACTTTGAAGCCCCATAAAGACCACCTAATGAAGGTCCATGTTCAAAAACTGAACACTAATGACTACACCAAACATCACACCTGTTTAAGATAATTCAAGTATGCAGAAGCTTCTCTTTTCAACTTTGGGCTTATTTGTTTGTTTTGGTTTGGTTGGGGTGTTTGTTTGTTCCACTAATACCTAGTCCTCTTAGATGACACCGATTTTTCACATGACAGTTAACTCTCAGATCAATAGACTTCATATCAATTATTTTCTGGAGAAGGACACACACAGACATAGTTTTTATGGCATGTCTCCATCAGGTCATGCTGATGACATGATTAACAATCCAAAATCAAAAAAGCCCTAATAAAATTTGTATTAATACATGTCTGTAATGTTTAATGTTTACATTCATTGTCAGAAAGTTGCACATATATAAAACACATGTGAACTCTTTGTTTTACTTTCCCATCTCCTTTCTCCCACTTCCAGCATTTCTACATCTTGTTTTCCTTTGTAAAATATCTCTCATTTTCTAATTACTGATCTTTTATTTTTCTTATATAAGTAAAAGTTAGAATGCCTCCAATAGTAAAGTCAATCATCTATAAATAGCAACATCCTGAATATACAAGTGTGTAAGGATTTTAGCATCCTTCCTGTGTTTCTACAGAAAATCCACAAAATACGATTCCAGTGAAGAGTATCCCAAATGATAGGTATGAGGCCACATTATGACCCCAGAAATGGAGGGTAACAAGTGTGCAGCACAAGCAAGTCATGATCACAAGCCTATGAGATAAATGAATGAAAATTGGATCATCAGATTTACCTACCAAAAACTTTGATGCAGGGCTACCTGGGTTTTGAAGCACAAGCTTTGCTCCTGTGTCTCCAGTAGGTGTGTCCAGGCATGTGGCAGCATCTAATCATAGTCCCTCTTTATCCACATGTTAATTTTGCTACTTTAGGAGGGTCTAATAATATTAAATATTTCAACAATAAAAAATGACAAGGTTCATATCATGTGCTATTCTCAATAGCATGATTAAATCTCATGCCACTATGATCCATCATTTATCTCAATTTATCTCATCATACAGCTGTTGTGTGCTGTCACATCATGACAAGGTGAGTACAATAACAACAGCACCATTCAGAGAAAGGGAGCACCTTCACAGGGCACTGATCAACCATGTTAACAAGCATTTCAGTATTAAGTAATAGTATGAACCTTTACCTGCACATAATATATCAATTCAATTTTTCATAGGTATATATGAATATAAAATACTATATGTGTGTATATGTATGTGTTTTATTACTATCTACTGTTGAAAGCATACATTGGGCACATGAAATCATATCCTCATCAGATAAGGGGACATTAGTCTATTTTAAAAATTTTAGCACAGAGGTACACAATTCCTATCGGTCTGGTTTGTCACATCAGGAAAAAAAGAGTAAAGAGTTTTCTGGAAGAAACATATGACTGGCCAACTTGTCAAATGAAAAACAGCATGCCCATTGCCCAAGAACAACACTCTTCCACTCCCATGTCTAACTCACACACATCTTGAAAACTCTATCTTTGCCCCAGGGTAATACCTTGGTTTCACATGGAGTGTGGTTGAACTTCAGAAGGAATAAACCTGGAGCAGGTGTAAATTTGTGAAAGGAAAGTGCATTTCTGGGAAATTTAGGATTGACTCTAGGAAAGACTGGGTAGGTGAGTGGTAATGAAGGTGAGGTAAAGAGACAGATTCAAATGGCAAAGAGAACACAAACATCACCAGACAGCACCAGGAGACAAGCGTCACCTGGGACCGTAAGAGAATTACTGAGGCTCAAGGAACAGGGGAGAGTTTATGTTTGATAAGTGGTTTCCCAGACCAATTTAATTACATTTAAGTATTTATTTGTAGACTTGTTCATATTCTCAAAGATACTTTTTGTCCATTTTTAAATCCACATAAAGTGTCTTAACATTTCCCTTCTCTACCTTATCAGGTAACATAATATGAATCATGAATTGTTACAAAGACATGTTCTAAGATTTGGATTCAACATTCTTGTCTTAATCTATAAATGTTGTCGTGATGTAGATGAATCACATCTTCAAGATGAAGGCAAACTGGAGGCTACAGCGAAAGAGGAATCAATCTCCTTTGGAGCTTTCTCAGCAGCAGTCTTCCCATAGGTGGCCTCCAGCTGGAGAGAACACCAACAGAGTGAGTGTGAACAGTGCAAAGCTGGAGAGTGCTGAAGGCTAGAGACTCATATGCAGAAGCCATGCAGAAGGCAGAAGCCACAGCCATTGAGTGCCTAACTCCTTTCTGAGGTTGTAACCCTATGGGGATTTTCTTTTTTTTTAAATTTATATATTAATTGGTACATTTTAGGTATACAATATAGTTACATTTATCATTGAGTGTTTGTACCTGAACATGACGTATCTTAGTTCTTATTTTTTCCCCATTACCTATGCGCCCTTCACCCCCACCACCCTTCCCTATTTACTTAGATTTCATTTCCACTTTTTTTTTTCTTTCTCATACTTTTTTCTTTCCTTTCTTCCCTTTCCCCTTCCCCTCCCACCACCCCTCCACCTTTGGACCTTTTCCTATTTCAAATTATCAATTCATTTTAATCATTTTCATCCTTATTTACACTTTCAGTTTCTCACACTAGAGGTACTATTCGGTATTTACACGTGTGTCCTATTTATTTCAGTTAAGAGTATGGCCTCAATATGCATCCATTTAGCTATAAATGACTCTCGTTTCTCATTCTTTATGGCTGAGTAGTACTCCATTTTATAAAAAAAACCCCACATCTTATTTATCCAGTTTCCAGTTGATGGGCACTTGGGTTGTTTCCAATCCTTAGCTATTCCAAATTGTGCCTCTATAAACACAGGTGCACATATATCACTGTAGTATCAGTCTTTTAATTCTTTGAGGAAGATACCTAGTAGGGGAATAGCTGGGTCAAATGGGACCTCTAGTCCTAGTTCTTTGAGGTATCTCCATACAGATTTCCATAGTGGTTGCACCAGTCTACTTTCCCACCAACAACGGAGCAGGGGTCCTTTCTCTCCACACCCCCACCAGCATTTGTTATTGGTTGATTTCTTGATAGCAGCCATTCTTTCTGGGGTGAGGTGCAATTTCAATGTTGTTTTCATCTGCATCTTTCGAATGACCAGTGATGTTGAACATTTTTTCATATATTTATTTGCTGTTTTTCTTTGTCTGAGAAATGTCTATTTATTTCGGATGCCCATTTTTGAACTCGTTCTTTGAATTTGGGGGCTCTGATTTTTTTTCAATTCTATATATATTCTAGGTAGTAGACCTTTGTCTGAGGTACAGCTGCTAAAAATTTCTTCCCATATTGTAGGTTGTCTCTTAGCTCTGTTGGTAGTTTCTCTTGCAGTGCAGAAGCTTTTTACTAAGTTGAATTCCCAGTTGTTGATTCTTTGTGCTAGTTCCCGTGCTACTGAAGTTTTGTTTGTAAAGTCTTTTCCTATGCCAGTGTCATTGAGAGTTCTACCTAACTTATCTCCCAGCAAGTTTACTGTGTCTGTCTTGATATTTAGCTCTTTAATCCACTTTGATCTTAGTTTAGTGCACAGTGATAGGTATGGGTCTAGTTTTAATCTTTGGCAGGTTGAAATCCAGTTTTTCCAACACCATTTATTGAACAGGCTAT